CCCTCCCCCCTCCAACCCAGCTCCCCCCCCCGTGGTGCCCGGATGTGGGAGGCCGCGGGCGGTGGCGGCCTCGCGCACAATGAGCCCCAGCAGAGCTAGCTAATGGGGAGATTGCACAACACGTAGAGGCGAAGCGGGCTGGGGGAGGGGAGGACATCAGGCCGCCATGTGCTCGCTCCCTCGACCACCCCGTGGTGTCTTCCCCCCAACCATGGAACAATCCACATCCCGCCCGCCCCCGTCGCGAAATGGCGTCGCCCTCCCCATACCTCAGGGCGCTCACCCCCGAAGGAGAGTGGACCTGCCCATCCGCAGTTTGCCAATTGCCCGGCTTGTGCGGCAAAATGGACCCGCCCGCCCGGCGCCGGGTGGGCTCCTGGCGCCTCACACGGGTGGCTCCTCGGGGTTAGGCTCAGTCCTGGCCGTCAAGAAAACCAGCACACTAAACGGCCGGTTTCTTCTTCCCCGACCCGTATCTTAACGCGACGCAACAACTGGACGCGAGGACCCAGGCCACCACCCCCCCCGCCTTGGCAAGTGGTATCGCCAGAATCCTGAGGAATCCGAGCGCGCGCAAGACCTCCCTCGGGCAGCGAGGCAACCGGACCGCCCGGCTCTGGGTCACGCACGGTTGCGGCCGCCTCTCTCTCTTTCCCATGCTAGGTCGCGACCTCGTCTCGCCACTCAGGGCCGGGGTTTTGGGTACTGTCTCTGGTCGAGGCCTAACGAACCTCGTACTCGAGGCCCCAAAAGCGGAGCTGTTTTCGCCCTCTGCTGTGGACCTGCCCCGTCCCTCCCCCAGGACCGGTCCTCCCGGCTTGGTTTTCCCGCAACACTGGTGGGCCTCAGCTTCCCCCTCCTCCCCGCGGGGCCCTCGAAAGGGAGCGGCAGGGTAAGTAGTCCCAACCTCTAGCAAATGCCTTCCTTACCGGGGGTCCTGACTCGCAGACATGATCCTTAGAAACTAGGGCGGAGTGCCCGCCTATCGACAACTTATAGAGCGCCCGGCCCCGCCCCAGCCACCGCATTGGCTTGGCCGCCCGGGCCCCGCCTGCCGGCGCTCAGCAACTCGGCGTGACGTTAGTTTGTAGGCGCTCTGGGACGTAGCTACCATTGGGTAACTTCAGCGCCTATCAAGTTGGTGGCCCGCCCCACGGCTTCATTGGCTACTGGGCCCGCCCTTCTCACCGGTACGGAAGTGACATATAGGACTCAGGCCTCGAGGCCTGGCAGCCATCTTGGGGCCCTGCACCCCTACACGTGCGGAGGTGATAGTGCCTTAGTCATGTGGCCTAGTAGGCCCTATCATGCAAGGGGGGCGAGGTTTCAGCCTCCAGGGACTTCCGGGCTCCCGGGACTTCCACTTCTCAGCTCCAGGTCTCCTTCACTAGAACCACATTTTGTTCTCAGGAAAGAGGACAAACCTCCGAAGTGTTCCAAGTGTACCAGGGATGATGGGATCAGGAGTCATACCCTAGCGACTGAGAGGATTCCCCTGGCTGAAGGGGAAGAGCAATAAAATGACTTCTGGGCTTAAGAGCATTTGGGGTTACTCCCATGAACCCTGGCTGGCTCCCGTAAGTGTCCTGTTCCCCAACTTTAGTACCTCTCAAGCTCCCTTATTTTTAAGGATTACCTACTCTCCCTTCCATCCCTTGCTCCCCTGGGTGGGAGATTCTTTTTGGTGACTAAGACATGGTGTTGGCACTGTCTGAGCCAGGAATGGAAAGCTGGCCCCTTAAGTCTCAAGACCCCGTAAAAGGGTAGCTAAGAGCACTGACTGGAGGAAAGCCTGAGACAGAGCATATCCCTTAAGTTTGAGGCCCCTTAAGGAAGACCACCACTATGTATCTCCAAAGGATCCTTTATTGACCAGAGCAGGACCGTGGCATTTATATATATATATAAAAAAAAGTTTGAAGATCTGGCAGGCAGTAATCCCTTTGCCCGCCCACCACCCCCAGCACAGATTATCCTGGGCCTACCCATACACATGGAAGGGGGATCACTGCCCCACCCAGGCCACAAGGCCATACTCCCCTGTAGACAGGGAAAGAGGGGCTTTTCCACAGCCACCCCCTGAACGTCAGAAATCAACAAGTATTCTCTCAAAAGAAAAAAAAATACAGAAATCAATTAAAACATTTAAATATGAAAAACCAAAGGGAGTTGGGTGGGAAGAGGCAAGAGAGGAAAGGAATTGGAGTTTCTTGGGAAGGAAGGGTCTCCCATGTCCCCCTGCCCATTAATGAATGGGCTTGAGGCCTGGGATACGAGGCTCACACAGTGAGTTTGCAGTGACACAGCTCCTTGTAGATCTGCCGACGAAGTTTGGGCATGTCCTGCTGGGTGAAGCTGAATGGCTGAGACAGGGCCAGGTGCTTGCAGTACTAGGTGTTAACAAAGCAGGCCATGAGAACCACTTACTGAGCATCCCCTCAAGTCAGGATCTGTGCTATACATTTCATATGAGATATGTCTCATTCGATCTTTCAGAGAACGTGCCCATTTCACAAACAGGAGACAAGGTCCTATAGCCTGGGATTCAAAAAAAGTCTGACTCTAAATCCTAGATTCTTATTTAGTACATGAAATACCTAGTCTTAAGAAAAAACAACACACTTTGCAATAGGGGTAAGGAGGCAGATATATCATAGCCAGAGACCAAGGACCAGACCAATGTGGGATGGGAAAGCTAGGAGAGGACCAATGAAGCCAGGATTTCTGCATTCCAACACATACGATTACTCCCTGCTCCACAAGTGGCTATGAGCCAAATGAGGGATGTGGAACAGCCTCCCATCTCCCTCCCAACCCTTTAACCCAACTGTCATCTGCTTACCTGCAACACAAAGGCGCCACAATCACTGTCATTATTCTGCCTGGCCACGTTCTAGAGAATAGAAAGAAGGTAGGCCCTTTACCTGGAAACTGCTAGGGATGTGGCTCCAACTTCTGCTTCCTACCACTATCCCCATAGAAACTTACCATTTTGAAGTAACCTTTCCAACCTTGATGGAAATCCAGCCGGTCTTTCTTCACTGCCTCTGCCTGTAGATACTTGGCAATATGCTATGCAGATGGAGAAATGGAGGAAGTGAACTCATGGTGTGGTGGTCAGAGGCACCAAGCCCAGGTTGCTTCTCTGAGACCCCAAACCTGCCCTTCTGCCTAGAATGCCTTGAAACTGGACCTCCCCAATTCTACCTATTTTTCCCCTTCCATCACAAACCTTAGGGCAGCGGCGGTTTAGGGTGCGCTGCGAGTCAAAATAGGTGATGGTGCGTCGCCTCACATCAACAGAGATGAGGGACCAATGCACCTCCAGGTGGATGGGGATTAGCAGCAGCTCCTTATTGAAGATGTCCACCTAAAAAGGCAGTGTCAGAGGTCAGGTAAGACAGCACATAAGTCCCTCCTACTGCTCTGAGGTTCTAAAGAATGGAGGAGCAAGCAAGAGGCCAAGTGGGCAGAACACAAGACCCGGCCCCCTGGATTGCCAGGCAAGGGTCAACATCTGGATGTTTTATATACTTGGGGTTAGGGAGGAAGGCAAGACAGAGGAAGTGGTGTCAGAACAAACACTCGATAACCCAGGATGGGCCAAGTACTTTCCGCAGATTAAAGGTAGAAGTGCTTAGTAGCTAGGTGCCCAGGCCCAGGATTCTGGAAACAGACTGCCAGGGTTCAAATCCACTCCTCCATTTACTTGCTTATGACCCTGGGCAAGCTACGTAATTCTCTATACCTCAGTTCCCTCATTTGTGAGAGAGCAAAAATAACAGTACCTATCTCACCTATTTGTTATGAGGATTAAACTAGTTAATATCCATAACGCACTAAGAACAATGCCTGGCACCTAGTAAATGCTCAATTAACACATAACAATCCTTTGAGGATGTTCTCATGTTCAACCTAACAATGACATAACTGCAGCTTGAAAAAGGAAAGTAACTCGCTCAAGGTCATAGAAGAAATGCCAGAGGTGGGACTCAAATATAGGTATTTAGAAGGCGAAGTTCTTTTCACCGTAGGTCACTTTGCCTCTACTGGGAGAAGCAGGCCTTCCAGATCCCTGAGGGTGTAAGCTCTTGAATCCTGGGACAGAAATTAAGAAATGTTGGAGCCAATGGTCCTACATTACTGTAGAAACTTCCTGGCCTTTGAATTGGAGGGCAGGGAAACTAACTGGAGGGGAGAAAATAACTTTTCCCTCACCAAACCTTCTCTTCCCCTAAGTATTTTCCCCAGTAACAGGCCAAAAACCTAGGCATCACCCTTGATTCTCATCTTTTCTTCATTTCCCACATCCAATCCATCAGAAAGTCCTATTGGTTCTACTTGCAAAACTTACCCTAGGTAAAACTTCTATTTCTACCATAACCACACTGACCCAAGCTTCTCATATGGACTTCTGTGATACTCTCCTAAGTTAGTCTGCCTGCTTCCACTCTTGCCCCCCTTAATTTATTGTTGAAATAAGAGTTCAAAACATGAGGCCCTTCACAGCCCGCTTAAAACCCTTCAATGGCTTCAGTACACAAGGAATAAAATCTACCCTACCCTCCATGCCTTAACATAATCTACTCTGGTCAAATTTTGTATCATTTCCCCTTTGCTCACTCTGTTCCAACCACATAGGCCCGTTCCTCAAATGTTCTCTCTCACTTTGTGTCCCATGTATTTGCTGTTCCCTTTGCCTAGAACACTCTTCCCCCAAATCTGCACATGGCTGGCTCATCATTCCTCAGCTAAAAGAGGTCTTCCCAGATTACCCAATATAAAGTTCCCACTTCCCATGCTACTATATTACTGTTTTAATTTGTTCATAGCACTTCTCACTAGCTGAAACTTAACCTGCTTATTTATTCTCACCCTATAAAGGCAGTATGTTTTCCTTACTTAACACTGTATCCTTAGTGTGTAGAATGGTACCTAGCACAAAAACATTTAATAAATATTTGAAAGACTGAATGAACAGGTTAAGGAAAGAGCTCATAAAAATAGAACTCTTAATTCTTTATTTTTTATTTATTTTAAATATATCTTTATTGATTTCAGAGAGAGGAAGGGAGGGGGGAGAGAGAGAAATATCAATGATGAGAGTCATCATTGATCAGCTGCCTCCTGCACACCCCCAACTAGGGATCAAGCCCGCAACCCCAGCATGTGCCCTGACTGGGAATCGAACCTCGATCTCCTGGATCCTAGGTCCATGCTCAACTGCTGAGCCATGCCCGGCTGGGCAGAACTCTAATTCTTTAAAGGCAAGGTGTTAACATAAGTAGATGTGAATTCATAACTCACGTTTTTGGTCCACCTTTTCACCCCATCATAACCCTTGGTACGGAGTTTATCATAGAAGAAACTGTTGAAGAAATGCACCTGTGCCAATGATAAAAAAGAGCTGGATGGAATTAAAAACCTCAGGCCCTCCAAGCTTCCTCTCCATTTCATTATGGCTCTAAGGACTGCTTTCAACAACCTGCATTCCACTTTACTGAGGGTTAAAAAAACATACATGGTTTTAACTTTATCTTAGAGCTTCCCATCCCAATCTGTGGGTTAGCCATAAGGGGAAATCACTAAAGACTGGGAGAAAGAAATAGAATTGTTAAGTTCAGGACCAAGATTATAGATTTATATTTAACAGATTACCTTCTACCACCTCTCCCCAGAAACTAGGGCCCTCTTTATGAAAATGGGAGAGAGAAAAGGGACTGAAAAGCTGCTGAGAACTGTGGAAATTCTCCTGGGGACTGAAGTACCTGGTTAGGCCTACCTTTTCAGGGACTGTGTCCATGACCAGGTCTCCATACATGTTCATCACCTGGGGAGAAGATGGGAGACAACTTGCCATGGAGGGTGTGACATGGGTACAGAGATACCCCATGAAGAGGGCCTCAGATACCGTGCTCCCTAAATTCCCCTCTTGGGTCTATTTCTCTCCTCACCTGGTCATTGAGCCAGTTCTGTCCATACAAGGTCCCCAAGTCGTCCATGGTCAGCACATGCCGCTTATAGGCCACTCGGAAGCCCCTCACCATGGCATTGCCTGGCATCCGCTGGTATGACTGGATCAGCTGTAGCACCAGGCCCTTCCTGAGTAGGCCAAGGATGGAGTCACTCAAAAGACAAGGGGGCTAGGGCACACAGAAGACAAGAGTCTAAACTAATCTTCCCCTCCTTTTTTGGGTCATGGGTCCTTTTGAGACCTGCTAAAGGCCTACTCCTCAGAAAGAAGTATACAAATACTTAGGTAAACCCAGTATTTCAGGATCCTAGGCAAAGACCCTCCCAGTCGGCTTACAAGGACTTGGCACCTTGCCTGCAGATCACCCACTTCAGTTCTAGCTTTCTCCTTCCCAAGTACATCCCTATGACAGAAAAAGCAGCCACATTCTCTGCCCATCCACTAAGTCCCAGCCCTCTTCTAAAGGGCATCTCTTTCATGCCTCACCTGGAAGGGGTAGAAAACTCCTGCTGAAAAATGTCCTCCAACTTCTCTACTACCTCATCAGTGCTAAGGGGGATGAGGCTGCCGTAAGTTTGAAGGAATTCATCTAAGATGCCTGAATGGAGAAAGGACAGAGTACTAGGGTAAGACCTCCAGGCTCTGATCTAGAAGTCTGCTGAGGGAAAGAGACTAGGTTCTCTAGGGTTCCTTACTCTGCACGCAGGTCACATGCTCCTCCCGCAGGGGGCTATGCTGGCCAGTTTTCTCCCCAGGCCGCTCTGCCTCTTCTGCAGTGTCCAAATCTGAACCCTGAAAAAGCTCCTGGGCCACATGGTCCCCGATGCTGCACACATTACTGATGAGGATGCTGGCATCAGGGGGTGCCAGACTTCGCTCCCCTTCTGGCCCAGGTGGTTCCCCAAAACCGTTGGGCAGAGTACAAGAGAGGAGGCCTGTAGGGCAGGGAACAGGATGGGGATGAAAAATTGGCTAAGATCAAAAGGCAATGGGAAGATCAACATAAACTCTAAGGACTGGAGGCCCTAAAGCATGAGATAAGCACGTCCAAGAGGTTCTAATGGGATAAAGAGGAAGAGTTACTATAGTTAACCCTTGAACAACAAGGGGAATTAGGGACACCACATACCCCTCGCACGAGTATAACTTTTAACTCCCCCCAAAATCCTGCTGTCCCACAGTATCAGTGGGGGATTGGTTCCAGGATCCCTGTGGATACCAAAATTCATCTATGCTCAAATCCCTTATATGAAATGGCAGAGAACAATGCATATAGTTGGGCTTCTGCATCTGTGGATTCCCAGCTGCAGACTGAAAATAGTCTTTTGAGCCCAGCCAGTGTGGCTCAGCAGTTGAGCATCGACCTATGATCCAGCAGATTGAGGTTCGATTCCCGGTCAGGGCACATGTCCGGGTTGCAGGCTCGATCCCCAGTAGGGGCTGTGAAGGCAGCTGATCAATGACTCTCTCATCATTGATGTTTCTCTCTCTCTCTTCCTTTTTAAATAAAAATATATTTAAAAATAAGTAAATGAAGATATATATATTTTAAAAAGTCTTTGATTCATGATTGGTTGAATCAGCAGATGTGAAACCCACAGACATGGAGGGCCAACTCCAAATGTAAGTGGACTCACGCAATTCAAACCTTGTTAAGGGTCAACTGTACTCATAGGAGAAACACAAGACTAGAAGTTAGAGAGATGCACCTAGCACAATACCTGGCATACAGCAAAGGCTCCATAAATACTCAACTAACAAAGACACAGAAAGCCTAAATTATTTAGTGTGGTTCTCTGAAAAAAAAAACAAAAAAAAACAAAACTATTCTGAATGAGAATGCCACACACAACCATACAGGTGATGTACTCTTCACTACTCAGAGATCCCATCCCACCACTACGAAAATGGCACCCTCTGGAGATGCACATGCAAGGGCCCTTATCCTCAAAGGCCAAATGAAGAGGGATTTCAAGTGGACAAGACTGACTTTTCTAAACCATGTCTTCTTTTCTCCTCTATGCACAGATCGAACACCTACTTAAGAATTCTGTACCCCAGCCTTGACTACTTCCCCTTAGTTCCTGCTCAAAGTGGGGCTTAAGACATTTCACAGCTATTCTGGATACCACCACCACTGCTGCCCTCACTCTGCCATCTCACTTTCCTTAGGCCCAGTTTTCATTAGGCCCAGCAAGAGGCTCCTGGTCCTCCAGGATCTTAGCTCTCCCCACCCACTCCTCCACCCTATTCCCATCTTACCCGAGTCAGGGTCCAGAGGAGACTTTGGAGTCCACCTTAATCCATCTTCCTCCATGGGGGGCCCAGAGGGCACTGGTGGAGACCCTCTCACCCCATCCTCAGCCATGAGAGCACCTAGCAGACCCAGCCGAGGGGGAGGTGGCCCCCTGGGGGAGTCAAAACGACAGCAGGGGGATGGCACCTGTGGCGTCGCACCCCCTTCCTGGGGTGAAAGATGGTTCTTGGGGTGTGCAAGGCTACGCCGCCGGCCCCGGTGGCGCCCCCAAAGCTTCCAGTGGAATGTCAGCGAGGTGCTTTTTGAGTAGAGCAGCATCTGGAAGGCTCTCATAGCTCTGCGACGGCGCTGTGAGCAGGTTTTTCGATGGGGAGGGCGGGGAGGGCGAGGCCGCTGGGTGGCTCCCAGCTGACCCCATCTAGGGGGCAGCCTCCAAGCTGCCACTTCCTCTTCCTCATCTTCCTCATCCTCTTCTTCCTCCTCTTCACTAGCTGAGGCATCAAAAGAAGGTCGAGGGACAGGGAGGCGTCTGGCTGGCACTGTGGTCCCTGACCCAGGATCTGGCCCAAACCCTCCACCTGATTTGAGTCGGGGTTTGGGGGGTGGGGGCCAACGAAGACGCTCCCGCCTAGGGCTTGAGTAAGCTGGGGCTATGCCAGGTCCTGAAGGCTCAGGCCCCCAAGGCCCGGTCCCTTGTATAGTCTCTTTCATCTTCCAGGAGCCTGTAAAACGAAGGAGTGTCATAATCCAAACATTCTGTACCCCAGATACTGCCTTTCTTCCTCAGCATGCCTGTTCTGGAATCAGATGCAAATGAACTAGGATTCAGAGAGATGCAAAAAGGAAAGAGGGAAAGAAAGCAAAACTAACTTCAGATATTTCTGGTTAACGTGGTCCACAAGGGAACCCTTAGCATCTGTGCCATCATCTCTCCTCTACCCAGATAAAGGCAAGGGAGAATGGCTAGAGCAGCAGGCCTTGGGGATTTTATTTGGTCAAACGGAACACTTTCAGGTTTTACTTCTGTTTTAAAACCTCCAGTAATGTCCTCATTGAGATCCTAATAAGGGATATAGCTCAGCACGGGAATACTGATATGGCACATGAGAACACAACCTCCACAGGGAAACAGTGGTCTAGAGTGGTAAGAGAGTTCTCTACAACCCTGGAAGGAACTGGAGGAGAGGGGGCATGCTCAGATCATCTCAGGAGTAAATGGGGATGCCAGGACTATGGTTTAGGTAGTAGAATCTAATGACATGGAAGAATTTTTAAAGGAAACTGAAGGAGAACCGCATCGGTGCTTAAGCAACGGAATCAAGGCGCTGGGAAAGAACTGAGTCTCGCGAGCCCGGCTGGCCCAGCCCCCCTCTCTAGCTGTCTCCGGGGACCAGAATGTGTCCCAGCACCGGTATAGTCCTACAGGCTTGGACTGCTCAGAGCGCGAGGGCCTTAAGAAATCCCTTCAAGGGCCTCCTGGGCCCGGGTTAGGTGGGAATGAGGTCCAGGAATGGGAGAGGTAGGGGAC